ACTTAAGCATACTTTATTTTTCTAGATGTAATTCAGATTAAATATTGAGAGCATCGCTGAAAAATGTCCTTAATTTCTAGGAGTGACTGGAGACATAATATTATCCAATGTCCTTTCTTACCCTTTCCAGCAACAGAGATCCACAATCAGAAACTCACTGTCTTCGTAAGTATTGATGTGATGGAAAAGATTAAAAGAAGAGGTCCTGTATTTATTATTGAGATACTTTCTTCTCTTCTTGTCAGCAATATGAAGCCAAACCTTGAAAAGTGAGGAAAATATTTTGATGGATTTAAAAAGGAAAACAGCATACATTATGAAACACCTTCTTCAGAAGCATGAATCTGGTAAGTAAATGTAAGTCTTACCCCCATGGTTTCATTGGACTCAAAACAATCCATGTAGTTGGCTCCCCAAAGACTCCATGAAGAAAGGAACTTGAACAAGTTAATTTTGACTGGCGTCTCCACAAAAACAATATAGTTGGGAGTCAAACCAAAACTGTTTAGAAACACAAATAAACTTGTGAATGGGAAGGACTGATTTTCAAACCACAAAGAAATACGTGCACATGAGGTATGCTCAGTTATATGAATCAACAGTGCCTACGTGAAATTAATTACATTTAAATTTAGGTTTCTGCAAGAAAATGTCATGATCAGGATTGGTATCAAAGGTAGGCAAAACAGATCTTTAAACTTGGTTTTCCTGAAGATTCATAGCAGGCCTTCAAGTTACCTATGGACGTAAGATGGCTTGAATCGGTCACTGCAGGGGAATTGTACAACGACCTCTGACTTGCTTATTGGATCTTCCTTGTCTGAAATAAAGCGGTTTTAAAAGGCTTTGGAAAAAGCCTCTCTTTTCTCTTTTAATACAAAGCATTTAGAACAGCTCATGCAAGTAAAGAAATACATTTCCAGATCTTGATTGTTTTGTTTTGTTTTGTTTTAGAGCTTATTTTCATTTTCTCAGTCATTGGTGTTTCTTAGGGAAATTTCATGAGAAGCTGCAGTCACCCAGGAAAATCCAAATAGCAGCAGATTTGGAAAAGTGCACTCAAATAGTGTTGTGCAGGCAGAGTACAGGGGAGTCACATCGTACAACTGGAGGTGGTAGGTGCTAAGTCAGGGAGTAAAGGAAAACTTTTGTATGGTCAAAATGCCTTTTATAATCTCTTAAGTTTCCTACAAAGTACAGTATATGTGGGTTTGTGTCATTAGCTCTGTACAGTAATTCTTAAGCACATAAAAGTTTGTTTACTGCTAGGTCAGTGGTCTTCAAACCTTAGTGTGCTTCAGGATGACATAAAGAGCTTCTTAAAAATCCTCACTGCGGACCCACACCCAGAATTCCTCATTTAGTCAACCATGGGTGGGGATCTGGATTTCTAGCAGCTTCCCAAATAATGCTGCTTATTCGGGAACTATATCTTCAGAACCATGCTACCCAATACTAAACAAAAATCCATTTTTATTCAAATAGTTCTGTCACCAAGATGGTTATCAAATTTCTGGCAATGAATGGAGGATGAATGGAGAATTCTAAAGAGTACTCTCTTTCTGTCTTAATATTCTTTCTCTATAATATTAACATGAGTTAATAGATTTGTTTGGAGTTTGGGGAATTAAACACACACAAAATACTTAGTACACTTTCATATATGTGTACGTGCAATTATGCATACATATAGGTTGGTTTAAAAATTTAATCTTGCCTGGCACATGAATAAGTGCTCAATAAACATTTCCTGAATTTTAATCTAACTCTTATATGATCAAATACACATATGCACAATATTTTTGAAACATTGTAGAAAACAACTTGGCCACTCGTTTTCTATATTTTCAAGTTGTCATTTTCTGCTATGGTGCCCTTAACCATCGGTCCCTGGTAGGATAGGGGCAAGGGCAATCTGAGAATAATTTCACCATGCATATATAGTGCTATCCTGGTATTCTGATCTGGTATTCTGTATTTCTGGTAGCTTTCTCATAATATAGATACTTGTTTTAGGAAGAGTCAAATTGGTAAACTGACCTGCTTGTAGTGGAGGGATCTTTACAATATTGTAGGCAATTGAAAAATTTTTCCCAAAGCAATTACCAATGTTGTACACAGTTCCATCACTTTCAATATGGGGGTGAGCAGTGGCTCCATTGACAGAGACATAGTTGCAAAGATCAACCTATGGAAAGAGAGCAGAGGTCATCCATGTAAACAGAAAGATTGTATTACCCCTTTGGTCTCTAGGTCTGACCTCACTGCTACCACTTGCAGCCTCACCCTAAGTGCATTTTCTCTTTCTTTGCATCTTTCTGGGTTCTACCCTCTTTCAGGTCTGCCTGAATGCCCGTTTTCAGTGCAGAGCTCTCCTCTGACCGCCATGCTGACTCCCCAACACCTCTGAAATCTTGGACATGTCCCTGGTTGTGCTCTTCAGTGTATACCAGATGCTACTCTAGTTAGCCACTTTCCTTTTGCGCATGCAGGTTGTCCTCAAAGTGGTAATTTGAATCTTGGGGTTTCTTTATATCCCCCTTATTTTATTAGGTAAATTGTGTGAAACTGCTTATGTGCAGTAATTTTATTTTACAAAAATGGCAAATTTGTATAGTATAATCTAAATACCAAACCTGTTGTCTTGCGGAGAGCATAAATTTGGAACTGAAAGAAACCCCAAGATTCTATTTAGTATAGAGTCTTAACCTAAATAGACTTCAGGAGAACCATGAATCTCCTGGAATTAAATTAAATGCAAATGTTTTTGGAGAGAAGATTTAGCGCTTTAATTCAATGTGGAGTCTCATAAGAAATTCAGAATCACAAATCTAGCATAAACCTCTCTGTTTATAGAAAGAACAACTGAGGTCCCAGACAGGTCAAGTGACTTTTTCAAGGATACAGAGCCACATGCTGGCAAAATCAGCACTAGAATTTCTACGTGGGACTGGCTCAACACAGATTTATCGAATGAATAATTGATGAGGTATATATTTATTTAACCACAATTCTTTCTATTTGATTAAGAGAATGTGTTTTAAAGGGAGTTTTTAGCATTCTTATTTAAATAATAGGCAAGACATTCATTCATTTATCAAGTACTCATTGAGCTAATATTACTGTGCCAGGGTCTAGGAAAACAGAGATGGTCTTTGCTTTCAACAACTGTAGTCTAGACTTGTGCTGTTCAATATGGTAGCCACATGTAGTAATAAAAATGTGGATTAATTATGATTAGATAAAACTTTAAATTCAGTTCTTCAGTCATAGTAGTCACATTTCAAGTGCTCAATAGCACTTGGACAATGATGTATAGAATACTGCCATCATTACAGGAAGTTCTATTTGATAGTGCTGTATATAAAATATAGTACATTGCTGGTAAATGCAAAATGGTATCTGTAGAGAAGGGTCATCTAACCCAGACTGGGAGATTAGGCAGGGCTTCTCAAGGACAATGACTCCAACTAATGCTTGAAAGACAAGTAAAAGTTAATCAGGTGGAGAAGGATGACAGTGTGCTCTAGGGAGTGGGAACACTGATGTACAGGCATTGAGTTGTGAAATAGCACGTGCTGTTTGGGGATTACTAGTCATCGAACATGGCTGCTGTCAAAGGCATGCATGCAGGAGGAGAAAGAAGAATCAGGCGGCCGCAAAGCCCTGTTTGGACTTTATTTTAGAAACTGTGGATGCCTCTGATACCGTAACACATTTATGCCTGAATTTTAGAAACATTGCTTCTACTGAATTAAGGAAGTTGTATTTAAGAGAATCAGGCTAGAGGCAAAGGCACTGGTTAGGAAGCTATTTTAGTAATAGTAATAAAAAAGTTTCAGATTTTTTTTTTTCAACGTTTATTTATTTTTGGGACAGAGAGAGACAGAGCATGAACGGGCGAGGGGCAGAGAGAGAGGGAGGCACAGAATTGGAAACAGGCTCCAGGCTCTGAGCCATCAGCCCAGAGCCCGACGCGGGGCTCGAACTCACGGACCGCGAGATCGTGACCTGGCTGAAGTCGGACACTTAACCGACTGCGCCACCCAGGCGCCCCTAAAAGTTTCAGATTTTTAAAACTGTATTTTTATATGAAGTCAAGGTACAGTGCTGTTGACAATGGAACCTGACCCCTAATAAAGGCTGTTTTGAAGCCATACATGAACATTATATTTGCAATTATATTCCCATAGCAATTTGAGTACAGGTTTACTTATCAGAGTTAAATGAATGGTTTAGACCTCAGCTCCATGGTGCCTGGGTGGTTTAGTCGGTTAAGCGGCTGGCTCTTGATTTTGGCCCAGGTCATGATCTCATGGTTTGTGAGATTGAGCCCTGTCACACATGATGGGCTCTGCGCTGACATCAGGGAGCTTGCTTGGGATTCTCTTTCTCCCTCTCTCTCTGCCCCTCCCCTGTTCACTCTCACATGCTTTTTCTCTTAAAATAAATAAACTTAAAAAAACAAAAGAACTCAGCTTAAGTTCTTCTCTAAATGATCTAACACATACTCTTATATGATTACGAACATACATTAAAAACAAGAATGAGCTATTGAGAGTATATGTTAAGCCTTAGTAAATAGTCTGCTGAGAATGATAAATCAGCTATTGATATAGAGACTTAGTGTTGGGACTATTATTCCTTTCTATTTACACTACACTGAATTTCTAGTTTTGGTCTTAAATTCCCCTAACTGGTCTCCTAACCATCTCTTATCTCTTCTTTCTTCCCACACACCTTCCAGATTAAATATCCTAAAGCACAGCTCTGCTTATACCATTTCTCTGAGCAAAAACTTTCAATAGCTTCCCATTAACTCAATAACTTATTCCAGATTTTTGTCTTACCCATGTTGTCTTACCTACTGATGTGTCCTTTGCATCTAGTGTAAGTTTTGATACATGGAAGGGACTGAATAAATATTTGTGTCACAAATGAATGAATGAATATGTTAAGCATTTTTAAAGATTTTCCTTCAACCCGTATTATAAGTGTTTAAAATTTCATAGATGAAGGAACAAAGTATGCCCTCTCACATTAGGTAGTAGTTGATGACAAAGCAAGGAGGTGAAACTTAATCTATCTGGCTCTCGTGTTCTTTCCCCAAAACTGCACAATTAATGGTAGGGTGCAAATTCTAAAGTCTTGAGCAATGTTGCCTGAGCACTGTGTCCTACCTGTTTAATTGTCTCCAAGGTCTCAGGATTAATCTTTGTAATGAAGTTGGTCTCTGTGCAGGCATAGTAATCTTCCCCTACTGGGTAGATGTTAACAAGTGCATTGTCAGTGACCTCCACTCCTCGAAAATAAGAAAAAAACCTGCAGAAACAAATGGAGTTTTCAGTCCAGTAACTTCCAAGCCATGAGAGAGAAGGGCTAATGTAAAATGTCTTTAATAATATGCCGTTGAGTTTCAGTAACCTGGAAAATATATTCTTGCAGGGATCTGGGAAAGCACAAGTGCCAAATTCCGTTATGACGATCCTTTTCTCAGTCATTGCCCGAACGTAAGCATCAGTGCGGATGAACCTGAAGGACACAGAGACATGGCAAAGGGTCATAGGCAGGGCCAGTCAGTATGTCCATATGGAGCTGAGAATGGTCAGAGAGAATGTGGAATCCTAAATCCACTACATCAAGAATAAAGAGTATTGTCAGGTCACTTTCTCAGGGTGACTAAGAAAGAAAGCAACAATGCTGTGAGCTTGAATTTATGCCTTACAAACCTCCCAGTGACAGATGAGGAAATTGAGGCTCGTGGCTTGGACTTGCTATGTCCAAGCATGGAAATTAAGCGGTTGGCGTCTGTAATGAAGCTAGGTTAGAACTCAAGTCGACCCAAGCCAGGAAACACGCATTTCTCCATATCACACTATGCAGTGGGTAGTTCACATAGGACCTCCAACTTCCTGTAACCTATAACCCATCAACTACACTGAGTGGAGAAATACAGAACATGGTGTGTTGAATTATATTCTTTTCAGTCTCTCTTTGTCACTCTTGTTTTTTCTTCAATTGTAAAATTTGTTTTGCTAGTTTTAAAAGTAGGGTATTCTTGAATCCAGTATCTTGCACAGGCAGAACTCCTGAACCATATCCCATACATTGCCTAGGATTTCTCACATGGAAAATCAATTAAAATCTGATTTTGCACTTCCTGCAATCTGTATAATAAGTGTTTAAAGTTTCATAGATGAAGAAACAAAGTTATGAAGAGGAAAAAGTACCAAGGTCTTTAGTGAGCATATGAAAGCTTTCTCTGACTTCTTAGCTAAATTTTTGCTTGATCTGATCGAATTCTCTTCTATTACCTTCTGAGGTATCCTGACTACTTCAAGTCTCCATTTGCTCTTCAGAATTCCTGATACCTGTGGTGATCAACAAAGTGTCTAACAGGTCTGAATATTAAAGCATAAGACTATTTATTGTGGTGTTAATGGGTACTTCCTGGAGTGATGGCTTAAGCCTTCAAGGCTTTTAGCAACAATCCCCTGTTTTTAGAAAACTTCTCTTTCTTGTATTATTATGACATAATCTGGTCCTTCCCTCTTTGTGCCACCACTCCCTCCTTCCCAGGGGCCTTTCTGATTATTAAAAAAGAAAAGGAGTCAAGAAAACCAATGGTCTAATAACTATAACAGTAACTATAATAATAACAACTTATTATTACTGAATGCTTCCCAGGTGCTTCATTTAATCCTTGTAATGAACCCTGAGGTAGACTCTATTATTTTTCATTTTAGAGATGACAAAACCAAGAATTAGAGAGTAACATCTTGCCAAACATTGCCCACCTAGACAAATAGTGTCTGGTAGATACAGAATTTGAAGTCAGGCATGTTGGACCCCAAAGCTCTAGTTCTTAGGTTCTTTATCATGGCACACCTCCCAGGTACCTATGCAAATGCACTGGCCCAGTGGATTCTGAGAGTAAGCAAATATATAGGTCTCCTCTTGGGTTCAAGAGGTTCAGAAGCACATAGGAGGAAGAGCTGAGCTAGGTCTCACCCCTAGGAGGATTAGGACCTAGCATTCTTTACCTTCTATGATATGTGACATGTCCTTCTTTAAAGTCAAACTTGTGCAGGAGGGCTTGCCCATCAAACAGGTGGTAAAATGGTTCAGATCCAACTTCAAAGAGTCCTGGCCCACATCGAAGGAGACTGCCAGTGAGCCAGAGGGGGATCCTGCCTGTGATGAAGGCGAGACATAGAACATTGCTTCTTACTCCTGCCCTTTGCTGTGCTCATCCCTGGTAAGGTGTGGTGATTATATTAGCAGCTCAATTGGGCAGCCTCTTCGTAAAGGGGGCAGTGATTTTCATTCCCAGTTCTCATGCTGGGCAGCCCTGACAAAAATGCCTGCTGACTTGACTCTCCTTTCACTAGGAGACCAAGTGGCGGGAAATGTCACAATGCCTGAGTTTGGGTAAAGGGTTGGAAGGAGACAAGGAAAAGGCCCTTGAGGAAATGGATTCTCTACCTAACAGATTTCCCCAGGTATCAATACATTTGCCTTTTAAGAAAAAATTCAAATTTCTTGATATATTTTGATGGAGTGAGGAATAGGAGAGGTAGATTAGGAGCAGGGATCAAAACACTATAAGAAGATATTTCAATAGAGAAGAGCATTTAAATGGAACAATAATACTGGCTTTTTGAAATCTAGAGTCCATTGAGGGTATGGGCTACTGTCCAGATGAAGGTTAACCTGCTGTAGCAGGAATCGCACAGGGCTGGGTGTCAGAGACCTGGATTCTGGTTCAGGATTTGCCGTGTGACATCTCTAGGGCTCAGTGTCCTCATCTGCAAAATGAGGGGTACGCAACAAAGGCCTAAGACTTTTAGTTTAAGCGGTAAGGTCTGTGCCCTTTTATCTATTGAAAAGTGCAGTGTTTGCATAATCCTTACCAACTTTTTTTAAACAAATGGATTATTCCCAACAGTTCAGTTTCAGCAGCCTGCTTCCTAAGAATTTATCTTTCTGATAAAAACTTTAAGAGAGCATGACTTAACTAAAGGCATAACATTAATTTCATTGCTAGAGCCTAATTGTTAGAATCTAGCTGAGAAAGAGCATTTGGCTCATCTCTTCTATTTTACAGAAGAGGAAATGGGGGGTGGGGGAGAGACTTGCCATATCCAAGCAAGGATGCTGTACGGGTCATATGAGGTCTTTGAATGATGCTAACAATGGTAATAATAACTACTTATTGATTGCTTTGTGTTGAATACTAGGTGAATCTTTCAATTAGTCTTAATCTTCACAACATCCCCATGAGGGAAAGTTTGGTTTTTGATAGGTAAGGGAACTGAGGCTCAGAAAGTTTAAGTAACTGTGAGATTCACAGCCAGTAAAATAATGGAGCTGCAATTAGCACCTACATCTGTCTGACTCCAGAAACAATGTAACAGGCACGAAACCTACCACCCTTTATTGTAATGTTTCCAGATGCTTGTCACCCAGTCCTCACTTATCCGGACACTGATGGAACAGACATTTATGGGAAATTTACTATGTGCCAGACACTGAGTTAGGCACTGACTAGTTTAAAGATGACAAAGGTGTAGTCTCAGTCCCCAAGGGATTCCAATCAGGCAGGATTTTTCCACATTAGGGAAATAAAGGGTAAATGAGAGGAAATAGGTTTCTGATACAAAAAGGCCACACCTCCAGATTCCCCTGTCTGTAGCCCACAGTGGGAAACACTACTGAGAGATGCCAATGAACAAAAGCCAGTGAAGAGGGATCTCGACAAAAAAGAGAAGATGGTTTCAAGACCGGTGAGACCAACCTGTAACATGAGCTGTGAGTGGTGAGGACAGTTCCTCCACAGTTTCAAACAGTTTCTTGTAACCACCAGCAGGATGTTCAACTCTGAAAAGGTGGAATAATGGGGAAGAAGCCCATGTTGATACTCAAAAAAGTCCACTGAGACAGAGGCACAGCTTCAGGAGAGAAGGCAGTCTCTGGATCAATGACAATGCACCACTGCCAGTCTAGCCTTTGCTGGGAGCACATGGTATTTGGGGGCTGGAAAAGTCACCAGGTTTGCAAGGCAGGGCCCCTGGGTCAGTCCTCCACCTTTGATGTGAAGGGAAATGACCTCCCGTTTAATGTCATGGTGGACTTAATTCTGCCTTCTGCAGTTTTCCCATATTTCTGAAATCAACTAATCCTGTTGCTATCTCTTGACTTCCCGACAGAGTCCTTCCCACAGAATTACCCTGCCCTGTTGCACTGCTTTGTTGATTCTCTTGCTTCATAAAGAATCTCCAAGAGTAGGGAGATGACAGCTTTTTGGGTTAGTAACTCATTCTCTGTTACTCACCTATATTATACTATCATCTCTTCCTATCATCTCATTTCTTCAACAGTCTCCAAGAGTTATGGTGCCCTTTAAAAATAGTCTGACTAGGAGATTCAGGTAATATTCTTGCTTATTTTCTGCCTCCTCACTTTGGCTCCATTTTAGAACTTCTTAGAGTGGGAACTCTGATCAGACTCCCTAATTATGATAGCCATCTTTTATTAAGCACTTACTATGTGCCGCACACCATAAAAAGAACTTTGTATGCTATTAGCTCATTTATGTCACAACACCACAATGGGTAAATACTTGTATGCTCATTCTATATGTGGGAAAACATAGACTACACAAAGTTAAGTAATTTGTCCAAAATCACATAGCTAGGAAATGGCTGGAACCTAGACCTGCCTCATTACAACCTTCATGCTCACCACTGCTTTCAAGGCCCAGTCACAAAAATCCCACAGTAATTTAGACCTAAGTGCTAGATATATGCTTCAATATATAAATAGGAAGAAATTTTCCCTGTCAAGACTGGAGGCCTCCCATAAACAGGCCATCAATCCTCTTCAGGACCCCTTGAAATAGCCCATTTACTATCGACCCACTAAGGCATTTAAAAACATCTCTCAGAGATACTTACTGGATGGACATTTTCTCTCAGTGAAGGATTGAGAGTTCTGGCACGAAGTGCAGAATGAGGAAGCAAGTCCTCAACCAGGGGCCTTTATATGCCTTCTAAGTCTCTCTAAAAGGAGTTAGGGCTTTCCAAACCCTTTCCCACCCCCTCAGCTGAGAGAAGGGGAACAGAAGTGGCTTTCAGCACTTAGATCCTCCTGATGCTTGAGCATTATTTGGGCTTGCCGTTCCCATAACAGTTTTTTGGCTGTTTTCCAGAGACCTCAATCCTTCCCAAAGAGAATGACAAGTGGATTGGAAAGAAAGAAGCTGTGTGGGAGTGGCTAGCATCAGGCCTGAGCTGATCCGGGTCACCCCACTGGAAACTGGCACTATTCTCTGGCACTCACCTCCCTCTACCACCTCTGTGCCCTCATCTTCACCCTCATTTATTCATTCACTTACATCTTTTTAAAACATCTATTACGTATCGTCTATGGGTCAGACAGGGATGGGCATTGTCCCCCTCATCACAGATGGTGTAATTCTGCAAGGAAAACAAGAAACTAACAAACTATTGAATAAAAATTTTTAAGTGCCATGATTGGAATAATCATGATATGGAGTGTTATGGAAGCATATTGCAGCACCTCCAACCCTCTCTGGCTGCTTCATTGGCCCCATTCAGCACCCCAGTTACAATGAGGCTGAGGACTTTATGTCCTTCCAGTTTGCTAAGGATGAGCCCTTTTCATGTCCTTGCCTGTCACTAATGCTTGCTTGCTCTCCACCTCATCTTCCTGTTCATTGGTATGTGGGGAGACCTCAGAGAGTAGATGGCCTTATTTCCTTCACATTTCCATAAGCCTCAGTTTGCCAGAACAGACATGATACTGCCTACTGGAAATGGACAAAATATATACTATACAAGCTGATGACTTTAACATTTTTTGAGGAACTCATTATCCATTTTGAAATTAAGAAGTAGTTATGGCTATTCACCCCAGAGCTCTTAAACAAAATGATTAACCTGGGCATCCCGAGACAGAAGGCAAGAGCTTATTTTTCCAGCTTTCCTTGCAGTGAGGGCACAGACTTGTGACCTGGGCTCCACCAATCAGAGGAAGGGGCAGGGGTACTCATGGTAGTACCCAGTGCCCAGCACCAGCTGTGTCTCTGCTCATCCAAGGCAGTCATAGTGCCTCCATGGAGCCATTCGACAGTGGGGCTTGGTGTATTATCACTGGCCTGGTATTATCCAAGCCCCATCCTTTAGCCATCTCAGGGATTCTATTAGCTACCTAATATTTAAAATATTTGTTTGCTGTTTGATTAACTGAAGTCGGTTTCATTGTTTAGAACTAAGAGCTCTGTCTCTGTAAAATGTTGATAATATAGGATACTGTGGTATCACATAGGATGAATATCTATATTGGTATATGGAGGTCCCAGAGGATTTTTGAGGAAGTCTCTAAGCTGAGATAAGAAGAATATGTAAAAGTTAGCCAGTCAAAGGGCAGGGAGAAGAGTGTTCAGGCGTGGCTGGTAGCATTTACAAAAGTCTAGAAGTGAGCGTGATTTGGGGAAATGGTGAAAGATGAAGCTAGATTAGAGATAACCATAGGCCAGATTATGTAGAGCTTTGTACACTATGTAAAGAAATTGAGACCCATATCTTGAGAACACAAGGAATCACCAAAATGTGTTATTCAGAAGGGTGACACAACCTGATTTGCATTACTAAGACTACTTTACTTACATTCTATATATTGGAAAGGGAGATTTGGGCAAGATAAATTACAGACCAAACAAGTAAAGGTAACTGATGTAGGGGGATGTGTTGGGGTTGGAGATGAATGATCAGATTCAAGAGATATTCCAGAGATGGACTGATCAAATTTTATGATTGGTAAATGCATTGGAGAAATAAAAGGTAGAAAAAAGGATAAGGATAGATTTCTGGATTGAAATATGGTACAAATACTTGAAGTACATACTGTGTGTGTGTGTGTGTTAGAGAGAGAGATGTTTTAGCAATGCAGAGAGAATGAATTCTGATTTTTATATATTTATTAAAGAAAGAGATCACTGGGGGCTGTAATAGTTGGAAGACTTCATAGGGAAGTAGAGTGAGTTGGAATCTAAGTGACACACAGGGTATGGGCACAGAGAAGATAAAAAAAAAATATCTGGTAAAGGGAGCAGAGTGAGAGAAGGCAGAGTAGGCAGTGTAGGAAGCAATGTTAAAAGGAATTTCTATCTCTTGCACCACTTCTGTTGGCTCAGAAGTGTCTCTTCTTGAGTAGAGTTATGGGCCATGTTGTGATACCTGTCCACTATCCACTGTCATTCCACTGAAGAGAAATTCCAGGAATGCTATAACCCAGCTGCTTTTCTTCATTTTCACCTCCTATTGCAAGGGGCCAAAGTAGAAGGCTTTGTGGCAGCCAGGTGCTAGAAAACCTATACCAGCTGAATGATGAAGCACTGACAAACTGCATTTTCTATTGAAGAGCATTTTCTGGGAGATGAACACCAATCTGATGAGTGCCCATGACTGTACCAAATGCCTTTCATAGGTATTCCTGTGTTGACTTTGGTATTCTGGGACCATAGCCATGTTGTTTAAGAACAGGAATTAATTTTGGTGATTTTTGAATTTAGTTTTGCATCTTTGGTAGCCTTTATTTCTCAACTTGTTTCAATCCTAGAAATCAGTGGCTTGAGGGTCATTTAAAAAAATATAAGTCAAAGTTCATTCCTGGAAGACTTATAGACTCATGGATCATGTGAGTCATCAAGTTAGCATGCTTTATTAAAGTCAAAATGAAAACTAATTACTGTGCACTGAACCTCACGGAACCCGGAGTTCTTCAGGTATAAAACAAAGGAAGTATGCAAAAGCATTTTTTAGCTCAAGGTACTCTGTACAAATATTAAGTGATATTCAGCAATGCTCATGCTTAGGGAGTGTGAGTTCATGTCTAATCTTCCAGCTAATACCTTTTACCTCAGAGATAACCCATTTCTCCATATTCTCTCTTGGGTGAAGTCAGAAAACAGCTAGGCTCTATCCTTCCCAAAGCATTGTTTTGACCTTTTGGCTTCTAAAGCCCCAAATGTGGATCTCTTTTTCATCCGACCGTACCCTTCTGTTGTTTCGGTGTTATACACTGGATCACCAATGTGTTGTTCCTTTTTCTTTCTTCCTCTCCTCTTATTCTCCACCTTAATTTTTTGTTGTTTAGAAAAATCAGATCTTCAGTTTCTGTCTGCCAAACAAACTATTTCATTTTGATATATTTTGGTACATTTACCAAAATAATATTCCTTTCTTCATGCAGAGCTTTCTTTACATTTAGTTATTTTTGAGAGACAGAGTGACAGAGCACAAGTGGGGGAGGGGCAGAGAGAGAATGAGACACAGAATCTGAAGCAGGCTCCAGGCTCTGAGGTGTCAGCACAGAGCCGATGCAGGGCTCAAACTCACGAGCCGTGAGATCATGACCTGAGCCGAAGTCGGAAGCTTAACCGACTGAGCCACCCAGGCACCTCTACATGCAGAGATTTCTTAATAGGAACTGATTTCACATTTCTTTGAAGAAACCATTTTTGAGAGAATAATCCCAGCCATGTGGCAGACTATGCTGGGCTTAGAGGTCATGGTGAGGAACTTGAATTAGATTGTATTCTTAGAGCAGTAAGAAGAAATTAAAGCGTTTTGAACAGGGTAATGACTGAGGTGATCTGATTTACACCAGTCTCCCGGATATTTGAAGAACAGATTATAAGCATCTAGAGTGGAAGCAGAGAAAGCAATTGTAGTAGTTCAGGTGAGCTGGTAACGATTTTTAGTCTAGAGTAGAGCAATGCAGATGGATTTGAGATCTGTTTGGTAGGTAGAAGTTTAGGGCTTTGTGTGATGTAACTGATATGCCTGGGATGTAAGAAAATGCAGTCACGGGGACTATCATTTATCTCTTGTAGCATAAAAATTAATCATCAAACCTGAGTGCCCTACAACAGTAAGTGCCTGGAGTGGCTAGCTAGGTAGATTTGCTGATATTGGCTGGACTTGCTGTCATAATGGGATTTGCCTGGCTGTTGGTTAATCTCTAGGTCTCAGCTGGGATGAGTGGGGTAAACTGGCTTTACCATACACATTTGTCCAGCGGGATAACCTGGGCACATTCTGCCTGTGGCAGAAATGAAAGTGAGCAAGTAGAAATACAAAAAGTCGCTTAAGGGCTAGGCTCAGAACTGATAACCACCTCCACAATTTTCTGTTAGCCAAAACAAGTCCTGGGACCAGCCCATACCTCAAGGGGTATGAAAATAGCCTCTGCCTTTAGTGAGAACTACAGTGTCACACAGCAAGGTCATGGATACAGGGAGAGATGAAGAATTAGGGCCATTTTGTAGCCAGGTGCATGAAGAACTAAGTACGATTTTTAGCAACTGAATGTCATACTGTTCTTTAAGACTAGGGGAGGAATAGTTGAGTGGAAATGGATGTATCAAGAGTTCCTGATGAAATGTGAGATTCTGCAAGATATTCATCTTCTCCGTAGGACTTGTCCACTCTTCTTCCCTCCTATAGCACCTTGGATCCTCCTTAGCCTGAAGAAACTTTTTCAGTGGAGGTGGGATTCAAACCAAAGCAGTCTGATTCCAGACTGATTCCAGTCTGTATTCTTATAAGTACTATTTCTAACCCCACACTTAAGTTCTGATAAATATTATCTTCTCGATTTTATTATGTGCTTAATAAGATTTTAGTACTCCTTGTAGACAGATGCTCCTGGAAGCCTCCCAGTTAACTTGTCCCTAATCTGCGTCTTCAACCATTCCCCAATAATACTGTCAGAGTGATTCTTCCTAAAGGAAAATTAGACCATGTCCCTTCTATTCTTAGAGGCTTTCAAGAGGTCTGCATTACTTACTAGATAAAGTCTAAGCACTTTAGCATGACTATAGGATCCCCCATACCCTGATCCCTGCCTATGTCATTTGTGTCTTTGTGTCCTCATCTGCCA